CTGTGGCTGTAACATTTACAAGATTTCGCACTCATTTTTCCCAAGGACTGGACACAATTTGTAATGATATGCACTAACAGTTAGGCTAATCAATTACATTAGATTTATTGAATAAGAATACATTATTTATAATGTTTTTAAAATACAGTATTTGTGTATTAAAACCATTGTATATGTATTCAAAGAGCATGAAACTCTAACTGATAACAATTGATATTTCTATTATTCTTGCTTATCCTTTTCTTGTATACAAAGTATTCATTTAAATTAAATTATACTCTCATCATAGTTTTAAATGGCAAATGGCGAGGCGAGGCGATTGGCCCATTGCCTCGCCACGGCGAGGCCTCGGCAACACAAGCCATCAAAGCTTAAATATATATAGTTGTAAGTATATGTATAAGTTTAAGTACCAAAAATAACATTAAATATCCTAAAAAAGATAATATAAATTAAATATAGTTGTAATCACTAAGAGAATCTAAAACTTAAATATGAATACTAGTAACATTACGATGCAATAGTTTCAGGAAAAAAAAAAAGCAACATATGTATGTACATTAGATATCCATTCCTTATCTTTTTCACTGTCTGCGCTTTCCCCAATTGGACACTCGGTCTAACGAACAAGGAAGATTTTACCAAAAGGTATCCAAAGAAACATAGCCATCAACAAATATCACAAAAGATCACCTCTAGCCAAGCGCTTATTTCACACTTTTGTACATGTTGTCAATCACGCTCTGCAGAAAACAAAGAAGTTATATTAGCAAAGATATCCTACACACGACGTCAATTACATTCCCCAAGTAACATTACAGGTATCAGCAAGATGGGCCCGACAAAATCGAAACATGAGCCTCTGTACCCTTGAAAACAAGTCTGTAGCAGAAATAAATTGCACAAGGAAATAGCTCTTCCTGAAAAATTGCAATGTATCGAGCATCAACTTGCCAGAGAACATGGATATTTTTTTAAAGGTATTCACCGATCACAAATTTTTCATCAATAAAAGCAAGGGTCTAGAAAGGCCACCATAGTAATAACTACCAAGTATGATAAGAGTACTGAAACTACTTAGGAAGATAGGATGCTATACAATATAGGAAGAAAAAGCATCTCATACTGACAAACCCACCTGATAGTACTTAAGTAACTGGATTCTCTTCTTTTTGAATGTTGGCGTGATAAGATCACGTTCCAAGTCAAACGGGACAGGATCAAGGTGTACGGCTTTGATGAATTCAAAGCCCTTCAACTGCCAAAAGACGAAAGAATGTTAGGCCAGACAAACAGTGATGAGCGGCAATTTCTTGTACCAACTATAAACAAATACACTATTCCGACTGATGGAGACAATAGTCCGAAAAAGAAAGTAATATGGGCAAGAGAAGGAACCTTCTTTTCTTTTCCAACCCTCGATAGTTCTCCAAGAAAGTACTTTTTTACTTTGAGATTTTCGCATAGGGCATTGAAGTCCCCGGACAGATCATTCTGTTGAGCCCATCTCTCAACTGCTTGCTAGTTTGGATTAATTACAGCAACAAGGCAAGACTCAAAGCTGTTCCCATATACCCATAGCTGCAAGAATTAAAAGCACAGTGAGAATCATACAACAGCAGATTTACCACCACAAGAAGTTAAACTCTCACTGGATAAATACTCCAAGTCTAAGATCCCTCGGAATGACATTTATATCGAGAGGGAAGAGTGAACTGCATTGTTACTTGTTAATATGTAAACAAATATAACAAAATTGGTTTTCTATGGACATACACACTCACAATCATGTTAAAACTTCTCTAGAGCAATTTCGTTTGAAAATGTAGACAAAATGACCATTTTCATTTTTCTGCATGTTGTTATGTGCTTGATGTAAAAATAGATTCATTAACACACAATATGGCCAACTCAGTACCGAGTCAATGTCAGGTACTAGGCCGTAGATATTCTCTAAATTCTCCACAGCAACGTACTCTCCTTGCGAGAGTTTGAAGATGTTTTTCTTACGGTCCACAATCTTCAAGCTCCCATCCGGTTTCCATTCACCAATATCCCCTAACAAAATAAAGTTTTATGAAAACCAGGATGAGTATTATAACCAATAAGAATACAAGAGAGACTACTGTGAGCTTTGAGGTAAACATGCATATACTAACCAATAAGAATATAAAAGAGACTACTGTGAGCACACATACAATATATCAAATATCATATTCCAAGAGGAAAAAAGAACATAGAATTGTAAGAAAGGCCACAAATAACCATATTTAGCTCCACCAAACTTGCCAAAAAAGTGAATAAAAAATCAGATTGGGTTGCACAAACACAAAAACTACTTCAACCCTCAAAAATCACAGTCAAATCAGCTTGAGAAAGCACGAGCAATCAAAACAAAAACGAAGGTTGACATCACCATCACCCGTCATAACTTTTCAAGTTTCAACAACAAGAAAGGAAAACAATCAAGTACATATACGAAATTGCATACATACATACATACATACGCACATACATATATAGAAACAGGATCGAATCAATCAAACATCAACCATGAGGATCTCAGGCCCCAATGCCACACAGAACTTGCAGAACAAAATAATGCAACCACTTAGCATAAAACAAACTCCTAAATCTCCCTAACAGAAACAGGACAAGTGAGATAAAAGCAGAGAGAATCAGACCGGAAAATGTCCCAACAGCTGTCGAGCCCCAGCGTCGGCTCCAAAAAACCATCCTTGGCAAAGATACTCCGATAAACAGGTCCGATCGACGGCTTCCCATCCCTGGCGGGCTTCGAAGGTTCAACCTGCACGATGTACTTTTGCTTCGTCATCTTCAAGCTCGTTGAAAAATCTCAAATCTGTACCTGCAGGCGAAAGTGCGTGCTCGAATATAGAGTTCAGTATAAATACTAAACAAAAAAATGTAATAAATAGTAATAAAATTACAGAGAATTTTTTTGAAGGAGAAGGGAGAGTTGTTGGTCCTAATGAAGTTGAAGTGATTCAATTGGATGGAACCAAAATTAATTATTCAGCAAAACACATTCTAATTGCAACAGGAACCCTAATTTGAACAAGCCAATACCTAAATACATGATTTCAAGCAAAACACATTCTAAGCCGTGCTCAACGTCCACCTAAATACATGATTTTAAGAACCCTAATTTGAACAAAAAAAACTAAGGGACAAGAACCCTAAATACCTGATTTCAGGGGCCAGATAAGATATGGCGGGATCTCCTTAGAGCCGACAAGAAGCTGCGGAGGATTGGCGGGATCTCCTCGGAGCCAGCGAGAAGCTGCGGAGGATTTGCGGGATCTCTTCGGAGCCGTTGAGGTCACCACGGGACGAAGTCAGAGGTCGTGGAGCCGGAGAGGTGGCCACAGAATGAGGTCGGAGGTCGTGCGGAGGTCGAGCCGGTGAGGTCGTGCGGAGGTCGAGCGGTGAGGTCGCCACGGGATGAAGATGTCGAGAAGTGAATTTTTTTTTTCAATCTTTTTTGCTGAAAGTAAGTTTGGGGGGAAGTGAATTTTTTTGGTGAAAGTGAAAGTGAATTTGGGGAAGTGAAAGTGAAATGTGGAATTAATTGGGTTGGGGGTAATTTTGTATTTTCACATATTAAAATGGCTAAAAAAGATGTTTTTTACAAAACATGGCTAAAATTTAGGTTTTGTAAATTTATATGGCCAATTAGTGGTATTAACACAAAAAAAAAAAAAAAAAGGTGTGGCCATACCCGAGTCCACCGTTGCCATACATCTTCTCTTCCGGTGATCATTTTGTGCACATCGTCCTATTCGAAATCGGTTTTGCCACTAGCATGTCGTGAAACCTTTGCTACTTGGCTTCAAATTGCCTTCTCAATTGGGACGTCTCCTACATAGAACTTCGGGAAGCCGTTCAAGCAACTGTGCTTGCATATATTCTCAGCTGAACTTTCCGTCGGTTCAATTACCCTTTAATAACCTCATCATACATCAGATTTACAAATTGTCGCTCATTTTCCACCACCAACTCGCTTCTCATGCCTTATCAGTTTCAGCTTGGGTTGGTTGAGTTAACGTCGGTCTCCATCTGAAAACTCATAACGTACGGCGACAATATCATCACAGACGATTGTAGATAAATTTGTGATACAGACTATATCATGAACAAATGTATGCATTATCCATTACCAACAAGACAGTAATTTTTTTTTTTTTTTTTTTTTT